GCAGCTAGAACAAAAAAATTTTCACTGTTAAATAGGGCATTGTTTACACTATATATACCGCTATTCAAAACAGAAAATTTCGTACCTACGATTTTTTCAGAAAATGCCGCCTAAATGCCCACTGTGTAGCGATAACTAATCGGTTTAAAGGTAAGTGCGTTTCTTTGAAAGATGTCTTTGTGTAAGTAACATGCAATTTCGCAAAGAGAAACCAACAGAATGACTATGACTTTGAATAGTCAGACAGTATTTGCTCAATAAAGATTCCTTTCGCTTTTTCCTAAGTTAATCACATCTCTCTATAATGGCAACGGGAGGCTCGGTTTGCCCATTTTGTGCCAATAGTCACCGCTTTAGCGAACTTGTCTATTTTTTTCGTCATATTACGCTATATCATGGGAATGAGCCGAACTTCCGTTTAACGTGCGATTTATCTGATTCATGTGGAATGCAATATCGAACTTTTGGTGGTTACAAAACACATATACATTGTCACCATAAACGTCTTCTTGGTCCTTTATCTCAGCAGCAAGAGGCAGACGTTATAACAGATGATATTGGCGGTATTTCTATTGATCATTCTCAATCCTCACATGAACTATGAGGAATCTTTCTAACTTTTCCTAGCAATCGCCTTTCTACGAAGAACCCCATGTATCGGTTTCGGTCACATAACTGAGACCGATAAATAGTTCTCTTATTAAATATCTTTTTTATAAGTGCTGGATCGGGATGAAAATTGCTCCTATCATAGTTCATTTTGTACAGAAATGTTTGCTCTACAAATCTCAGTTGCGAGAAAAATTTAATATAGCATACCCTTCGTACAATATAGTTTTTGTGAAAAAAGATTAAAAGCCGGTTTTTATCCGGTTGATGCCTGCATTATAGTTTTTATTAATGATCACCATCTGAATCTAATAGAACTTCTTTGTGGTGTTTAATGAAAATAATTTATTACCTCTTAGAGGGCTTTCGTTTATTAGATACAAAAGACAATAGAAATCTACGTCAAGACTATCTTATCTATTAAACATTCAAGGTATATATGAATTTTATCAATATTATTAGTAGCCTGAATAGTTGTATGTCGAGGTTAAACAGGAACCGAATATGAATCCATACATATATATATATATAGTATGTGTCTAAGGATTAACAATCATTTTCAAAGATTAATTTTTAAGACTGTTGTCGATAGGAAACAGAATGTCATCGAATTCATCATCATCAATTCAATTGATTTCTACATTAAATTATATTCAACAATAACTCAATATATATTCTAGTATACTGTTTTATATATTTGGTGTTATAGGTTCGTTATTTAATGTTTTTGTATTTTCACAAAAACAATCTAGAATAAGTTCATGTTCAATGTACTTTTTGGCATCATCGATTAGTGATTTCCTAACATTACAAATGGCTTTTATACCACGTTTTTATACATTCAGTAATATAGATCCAACGACATATTCATTATTATACTGTAAATGGGTATTTTATATATTTCATTCTTTAATTATGTTATCGAGATATTATATTGTATTAGCATGTATAGATCGATTTGCACTAACTTCCACAAATGTTAAATATCGACAATTTAGTCAAACTAAAGTAGCTTATTATTTAATACCTATAACAGCTCTTGTATGGTTTATTATTCCAATGCATATAGTTATATTTCAAACAATAGATATAAATAGGTGTACACAAGTAGGATTTTATTTATTATTCTTTAGTATCTATACTGTTATCTTTGCTACTATAATACCACCATTATCTATGATCTTATTTATATTATTAATATTTAATAATCTAAAACAAATAAGAAAAAGAATTCAGCCAACATTAACACCACATCAAATACATATAAAACAACGAGATTATCAATTAATGAAAATGTTATGGTTGCAAGTTTCTGTTTATATATGTTCAACGTTATTATATCCACCGGCTTTATTATATATAGCAATAACAAAAGATATACAAAAGAATAATACAAGATTAGCAATAGAAAGCCTTATGATATTTTTAACTACTGGTTTTTTAATTTATATAAATGTTAGCATGCCATTTTATCTTTATTTATTCATATCAAAAACATTTCGAAAAGAGTACAAACAAATCATAATGAAGTATTGTTTAAAATACTTATTTAAAACTCATTTTGATTCAACAGCAACAGCTAGTACTCGTAGAATTGATGATGGTCTCCCAATGCATTTAAAACGATTAAACTAACTCGTTAAAACTGAATAATATATGAACGATTCTCATACTATTGGTGTCCGTTTCAATCGAACAGATCACCTCGCATTAATCTCCGTTGCGACAAGATGAAACTCTTCATATATATTCGCTAGTATAAGGTCTACATCGACTACAAACATCTTTATCGTTCTCAACTAGTAAACAAAAACATACTCCCTCACCCCGATTTTCGTTGTGACTAGCGTATGTCTTGTCTAACTAATTTGTATTTTATTTTGTTGTGTGTATCCTGGACATGAGTCATTAATTACAGAAATCTTCGTGAACGATCGTTTTTATGGCTCTACAGTTATTGGGGCAACGACATGATCCTATTACTACTATTTATTCTTCGTTCAGCTCGAACTAAGAATGATGTCATCCATTTGTTATATTAGGATGTCGGAGTTTTATTAAAAAATTTTTCATTAAAAAAGCTTTCATGAAATGGAAGCTCATTAACACTTTTAATGAAACTTCCGGTGGGTTCGGTGACGCTGAATTTTCATTAAAATTTTTAATGAAATTCTTGTGCAATCAATAATTTTCTATAAAACTGCAGATTGCAGTTACTTTGTAGCAGACGTTTTAATGAAAGTTCGGTGAACAGAATGTAAGTTAAAGGCCACACAAATAAGTGTATTTAAGCAAAAAAACCAAAGTATACATATACCGATTGCAAGTGTAAAGATTGTACTCGATATAAGTGTAACTTTGGAATTGTGAAATTCTGAAACTCTCAAATTGTGTGTAAGTGTCAAGATTGCAATTTCAGAATTTCAAAGTTATACTTATACCGAGTGCAATCTTTATCTTACACACAATTTCAGAATTCAAGAATATCAAAATTTCAGAATCTCAAAGGTATACTTATACCGAGTGCAGTCTTTACACTTACACACAATTTCAGAATTTCAGAAGTTCAAAATTATACTTAAAGATTGCACTAAAGATTGTACTCGGTATAAGTATAAGTTTGAAATTCTGAAATTGCAATCTTTATACTTACATACAATTTGAGAGTTTCAAAAGTGTAAAGATTGCAATCGGTACACACTTATACCCAGTGCAATCTTTACACTTACACACAATTTCAGAATTTCAGAAGTTCAAAGTTATACTTAAAGATTGCACTTAAAGATTGCAGTCGGTATAAGTATAAGTTTGAAATTCTGAAATGCTGAAATTGCAATCTTTACACTTACACACAATTTGAGAGTTTCAGAATTTCAAACTTATACTTATACCGAGGGCAATCTTTAAGTATAACTTTGAAGTTCTGAAATTCTGAAATTGTGTATAAGTGTAAAGATTGTACTCAGTATAAGTACAGCTTTGACGGTTGGTTGTATAAGTATAACAACCAACTAGTTCTACTTATACCGAGTGCAGTCTTTACACGTACTCACAATTTGAGAATTTCAGAGTTATACTTATACCGATTGCAATGTTTACACTTACACACAATTTGAGAATTTCAGAGTTTCAGAATTTCAGAGTTATACTTATACCGATTGCAACGTTTACACTTACACACAATTTGAGAATTTAAGAATTTCAAAACTTCGTCTATATAAGAGCATATCAACATTTGGACTAAGAGATAAAATTTGTTCTCTTTCATTTCGTTTGTTAGAGAAAAAATATATAATTCAGCTTTAGATTAAATTGGATTATGCAACAGATAATACAAAATGGAAATTTCTTCCATTTTGTAACCATAACAGACTTTTCTCTTTCGTTCTGATTTTGCAAAATAAACGAAAACGAAAGAAGAGACTGATATTGATTTATATATCCGCGCGTAGAAAAATTCTACGCATCCATTTATTCTACGCGTAGAATATAGTCGTCTACGTCTACGTATTCTATTATTTTTGACGGCTTTCCTAAGGGCCCCCCTATATAGGAAAAAAAGTCCCTGGTTGTGCAACCGCTCGGGCTGGAAGTTTTAATGGTAATAGAGTATCTATGATAATTGCATAAATACGTAGTTTCAAGAAGAAATTTTGTTGTTTGAATTTTATAAAAGTCTTTTACTCTCAAAAACCAGTCTGCTTTTTTTGCTTCAAGTCCCCCAGATTTTGTCCGATTTGGCTCGGATTGGTCTTAAACGAAAGAGGAATCGATTCTCTACAGTGGTATGGGGTGCACTTTTTTCGATTTCAATTTCAAATTTAAGCTATTTAAAAATTTGAAGATGAAAAGCTTCCACACTTAAAAGGTTCACACCTCAAATTTAAAGCCGAAATCGAAAAAAATGCTCCCATATCATTGTAGAGAATCGATTCCTCTATCGTTTAAGATCAATCCGAGCCAAATCGGACAAAATGTAATGACACCTCATGATACAAAAGTGAATTTACCAACATTTGCTGATATAGATTGGTGGAAGTCTAAAGATTTAAAGTTTTTTTTACTGCATATCAATTGTGGTGGTAGTGAAGCTGTTGCCTGCACCCATTACCAATCATTTTGTATTGTTTTTTCTAGCTATCAGGTTAGTTAGCTGAATATTAGAAATATTCATTTGCTTTACTGATTTTCCTCATTTTCTCTTCTCAACTGAATCCTTCACTTTTATAAAGATGCGTCTCATATCGAGGATGCAGAAATATTCATGAATCAATATAGAAAAGAACTATCTTCAGTATATGGACCGGAGTTAGACCTGTATACGAATCACATTCTTCAGTATTTTGCACAACAAGTACGGAATCATGGTTCACTCTATACACACAGCTGTTTTTCTGAAGAATCATTTCTTGGTTACTTGAAAACTTTACGTAAAAACAGCACTGTCAAAATAGCAAGGAATGTATTTCAGCAATATTTGGTACAAAGAAGCGTGCTGAAAAAAGAGACGTTGACACTAGAGGAAATTTTCACTCAAGAAGAAGCTTTTGACAACACCTACATAAGTTCAACAGAAATGGATAAATTTTTTCCAGTATTTCAATACAACTTTGTCTTCGATGGTCATCAAACTCATAAACATTCTTCGATTTTTTCCATTTCCAGCTCATATGCTACTGCCTGAGATATGTCTTTTGTGGTTCCTGCAAAATTTTTTGGTAGATGTGGCTTGTTTGTTTAGCATAATGAAACATAATCAATCTAATAAATTGCTTTTTGTAAAAAGAAGTTTTTTTGGATTATGCGATCTTTATTACTACGCTCTGGAGCGCTTGCAAAATAGATGCATACCCTAGTGAAGCTTTTTTTCTCAAGCACATGACTTTCTTGAATTTCTTGAGTAAGAATCTCATGGCGTGGAGACATTTCTTGCTCATGCAAAACACATTTTTTCCGATGTTATGCACTTGACTTTCTTGACTCATGTGCTTGAGTTCCGTATCTCAAGAAACTCATGCGCATGAGATTCTTACCTCAAGCGCTTGAATATCTCATGCGCTTGACTTTCGTGAGCCAAACTATTCTGTCTTGCCTTTTCGATCTG